AAGGTACGTTTTGTCGATTAAAAAGCAACGATATTCTTTGGAATTCTTGTCAGTTGTCCTCTTATGTCTCTCTTGTCCAATGCGTGGTTTTGAGATGCCAACTACTCGTGTAAGAAATTTAACTTGACGGATATATTTAGCGATAGCATTCGATGTTATAGAAGTCTTCTACTCGCCGATTTCTGCAGTGAGCGGATCCCTCAAGAATTCTAGAATGAACTGGATCTACTCCCGTAGGCGGTCTAGGGGTCAACACTGCCGATGACGGCAGGACGGAAGGACATTTTTCAAATAAATCATCAAAACAAAGCAAATACCGACCCACCACAGCTATCCCAGTTTGTGAAACCGTTGAGTTCACGTTTCGAGCGCCATTTTGAATAGATAAGCCACGTGATCAAAACCTCCAAAAATCTTGGAGGTTTTGATCACGTGATTCCAGCCAACGCCAGGGTCATCTCCCCGACGACCGCCATCTTGAAAAGGAGTCGGCCGAGATGGCCCTGGGGACGAGGTTGGGTCTAACAGACTTCGTGCCCTGGGATATTTTTCTGGGAGTGAGGAACGAACGACAGAAGATTATCCTTGGGTTCCCGAGGATGGTTTGACTTTGAACTTCAATGTGATCCGAAGTCTAAAAAGTTATAAACTGACAAATATATTGATCGTTTTCAACCATTCCCATGAGATTAAAAAGATAAAAGACCGGCGGCCATGTTGGAGGACTGAACAATAGATACTAATGAGAAATCCTTTGTTAAAGTTCCTCCAAGATGACCGCTGTGACGTAACTTGAAAACGAAGAATCAGCGGTAACAGGGCTTTGCAATTAACTACATGCAAAATAATGCTATCGAGCCAAAAAACAGCTGGTACGTGCAAGTTCTGAGTGACAAGTTCTTATCATACAAACTTGGTTAGGGGTGCCGCAAGGACCTCAAAACCTTGACCCTATACAACTGAACTAAAACTTCTATTTCTCATACGGCCCTGCCCCGCTACTTCTTTTATTTAAGAAAATTCAAAATGGCGGAAAAATTATTGGGCCCCCACCCCAACTATTAATCGTAGTTATAAAACAAGCACAAGCGAGTCGAGTCAACTGTAGCAACCCAAAACTCACTAAAGAAGAACCCAAATGCAAGAGGTGGCTTACTCATCTGGATCTAAGTGTAAAGACAAAAAACTGCCAGTTTTAAATTATGCAGACGTCAAAGACCGCGACATATATTTTGGATCTGGGGGTCTAACGAACGCCAAAGGCGGGAGTATTAAGGGAGTCTGGTCCTTCCCAAGAAAATTTTGAAAATAACTCTTGGAAATGCGATTTCCAGCATTTTAAGAGACATCGAAAATTATGAAAATTTTCAAATAAACTTAAGGCTCCCCCTCTGTTGATTGGGTAATTTTACTTTGAGCCCCCCCCCCCCCCCATCAATTTTATGTAATGCCCCTCCCCTCTGGTTTTACGCCCCCCCCTCCTGGTAATTATTGCACAGTCCCTTAAGGAAATTGAAGTTCGTCGTTGAGCACTCTTGGATGTATTTACAGGGTCTCAATGTCGGTAGTCAGTTAAAATTTCAAGCATTTGTCGCTAGTCATGATCAGTTAAAATTCTAGGCATTTGTCGGTAGTCGGTTATTTAAAAAAAGTTGATAAACATTAGGTTTAAATGCATCTAAAACGGTGCTTTATACCAACAGAATTCTTTCTAAAATGCCAACAATTGAATCCTCGAGTCTTGATTGGTCAATTGGATGCCCTTAAAGTCTTAGAGTGGCTCATCACAACTTCAAGAAGCCAATCCGAAGCAAAATTTATTTTTTCCACGGAAAATTTCGAATGTAGTTGCTTGAAAAATTAAAAAAAGCTTGTATTCACGGAGCTAACATCTTTGAATATTGGAAAATGTCGCCAGTCAGTAAATTTGTTAACGTCGGTAGTTAGCAAGTCTCCCTCGCAACCTCCCCTTTTGTCGGGCTTCCTGNTTTTTACAATTTATTTTTGTTTAACAGTCTTTGGGCGTTCATCTATAAAGTTTTGTGTGTGATAGTATGTGTGAATGTCAAGAAAGAATCGAACGATGGAAACAAATACATATCATTCACGATACTCACATTTCCCTCCGCCATCTTGAAAGTCTCTCCTTCTCGGCCCCAGTACCTCTCCATTTAGCATGAAATCCCCGGGTTGAGAACCGAAGACGAAAATCTCATCCAAGACTCCGGTACCCGGTGAACTTGTAGCATTAAAATTCTTACTTTTTCCCCGCTTAAGTTACTGCCCTTCCCGGGTTGGGGGGGGCGGGGATTTACAATGACTGGTGCATTACATGTAGCAGGCTTTCATGACTTAAGGTGGCTTTCCATATATTTTTACCATACCTCTCCTTTTGAAAATCTTACCATACACCGATTTTAATGGTGTTTGGACYAGTAATAAAGCATGATCAAAGTTTTGTTTGGCATAATATTTAGGTCCATTAACGTTACCTTAAGGCAACGGAAATCGCATTTTGTCGAAATTAAAAATAAATTAAGCTTATTTTTATAAGCATGCATGTATGAACATAAGTTATGAGTTTTTTTATATAATTTTTCCCAAAACGTTGTGCAATAGTTTGAAGCTATGATGATGTCTACTGCTTTTCTGGATCTCATCAATGTTTTGAGCTATTTCAAAAAGCAGATTTAAAAGACAGGTATGGTCTAAAAAGAAAACAAAAGGAAGCCACCTTAGCTTAAGCTTGATGATATCTTTCTCCATAAGAAAACAAGTTCATACCGTATTATCCAGATCATGGGGTGCTTACTCGAGGTCATGATTGCCCTACCAAAATGACCAAGCCATTTACAATTATAGATTTTTACGGTAACATGCTACATTATACACTAATCTTTATCTTATACAACAAATTGCATAATGTAAAGTTTATTATTTAATACATGTTAGAACTCAAGCTTAAGTTTAATTTGTACTGTAGATCGAGCATATTGACATCTAGCTCAACTGCATGCTTTTTAGGCAGTCAACATGTGAAGTCGGTAGAAGTGTATAGCTGCGAGAGCCATGCTGCCACCCTTGTAAGGCTAAACCTCTGGCCCGGATCACCAGAAAAACCAACTGTTGCCTTTCATATTGATCTAATGAGGCTCTGTGACAAGCTCTTCCTACAGTGCCAAGTATCATTGTATGATTTTGTAGAGGTTTTGAAAGCACYTCGCTCTCCTCTCCATCCAAGTTTTGTAAGTTACTCCTGAAAACATGTTCACACTTTATAAATTAGCTATATTTACAATTGTCACCATTACAAAATTCTTCAAGACACTGAAAACTAGTAATGCTTTTGAAAAATCAAATAGTCAGRAAATAACAAGGGTGCTTTGCCAATTGGTGGAAATGATGGGGGGAATTGACTGCAAAAAAAAAGCAATAGTACTATGTTGAGGATAATTTTATTTTTTCAGATTTTATCTGTCTACAGTATTCTAAATTCTGGTTGTTTTGAAGAATTCAGGTAAGGATCATTATTTTTGTAGTTAATAGACAAAATAATAATCAACCATAATTATAATTATCTTGTAGATTTCAGACACAAACTATAGACATCTGATAACAGCATTGCCCAAATTTATAGTT